AAGAGAGGTTATTGCTATAGGGCGTATGTACTCGCCAGAGAGAGAGAGAATGAGAAGTCACTCCCCCCAGGTGGGGATGGCCTCTCAACAATGCCTTCTTCTCTATTCTCTTGGGATCTTGGGCGCCTACGCACACGCGCCTGGGCAGTTTTAAGTTGCTAGGTCCAGGACTCGGGAATCCAGTGACGTAACCATTATGCCATCTGCTGGTCCTAAAGTTCATTTGTTTTTATACTTGCCTTTTTATTACATAAAGTTATCTGATGCCCACAGGCAGAGTCTATTCTTGGTACTGGTAATCAGAAAGGAACAATTAGATTTTTTTTCTCCTAATCCTGCCATTCCTCAGGGAGATATCTTGCTTTGAACAGTAAAGAACATTAACGTCTTCATATGGAAATGAGCTATTGGTCATTCTTAGTGGTTCCAACCAAAAAGTGTATTGGGTCTGATGCATTTTTCTTTTTCTTTCTTTTTTTTTTTGGAGAGGTTTTCGCTATAGGGTGTGTGCGCTCGCCAGACAGACAGAGACAGAGACAGAAAGCGAGAAATCACCCCCCGGGGGGATGGTCACGCCGCAATCCCTTCTCTTCCATTCTCCTCTCGGGATCCTGGACACGCACGCACACGTGCCTGGCGTGAATTTTAAGCCACTGGGTCTGGGACGCGAACCACGGTCGACTACGTGGGAGTCCAGCGACATAGCCATTACGCTAACTGCTGGTTCCCTGATGCATTTTTCTGATGCATTTTTGTACAGAAAAACATAAAAGAAAATACATCGTTACTTTTCTGACAATCCAATAGTACCGAGTTTATTCAGGCAAAAAGTTGTGCTTTTGCTTTCTTCTCTCAGCATCCCATTTGGTAAGACTAACCTATATTTTCCCTTCTCTCTGTGCTTCACAGGGCTATTGTGGCGTTAGTATACAATGTGTTGAAGGCATTCATGGAAATGAACAGCACCATGTTTGACGAGCTGACAGCCACATACAAGTCAGATCGTCAGCGGTAACTTTTTAAAGCTTTTTTGTCAGCTGTGCTTAAGACTCTTGAGTTCTTTTCTTGCTCTTTGCTGAAGTTGCCTAATTACACCCAAAATCATAAACAAAACATTTTTATTTATTTATGTATTCATTTTGCATGCTCATTAGCTATGTCCTTATTAGTGCATCACTGAATAACAAAGCTCCGTTTCAGTGTCATCTTGATAAAGCCTGCTTTCATCCTTCCCTTCAGTGATACTTCAGTTCTGCTCTAGATGAGAGCCTGGCACATAGCAGACATTTCAGGCAAATGTAAGGGGACCATCAGGTAGTTTGCCACCTGTATTTGCTCCTGTTCTGAACTTGCTTGAGCTAGAATTGAGCTGATTTTGTACCTCATTCCAGCAGCAGGAGGGGAGAGACATCAGGTGTTTAAAATCTTTGGCTCATAACTTAATTTAGTCTTTTCTAGCACCCAGCAAGTTCATTACCATGTATAACAGTATTATATAAGTCTTGAAATGTTTATTAGGATAGGGAGCAAAAACTAGTGGAAGTGTGTACAGTAAGTGCTTATGGTTTAGTATAGCTTCTCCTGCTTTCATTTACATATTTCCTCAATTTTTTATCGTTTGCCCAATGTGTCCAGTTTTCCTAAAGATGTACCTGGAGAGATTAGGGAAAGCCTTGGGAGCTATTAGTAGTTGGGCCTCTGATTTGGTGTTGATCACTTGAAACAAGTTTGGGTTTTGTATATCATAAAACCATAGACCCTAGAACATGCCAGTAGTTTGTGCAAGGGTTCATACCCAGGCCTTGCTGAATCTCCTGAACACAGGCCCTCTGCAGGTCCCCTTTTTCTTTCTTTTGCCTGATTTTGAATGTGTTACTTGTGTTTTACTGCTAAAGGAGCAATGAAGGGAAAGGTTGAGCGGCAGAGGGCAAAGGAGCAGTACAGTTATTTTGTTATTTTTAAGGTTCCGGGGAAATGGTTTGTGAAAAGACAACTTACATATGGAATATGGCAAGTGATTAGCTATAGACAGAAGCGGCTGAGACTTCTTTACTATAATATTAGGATAAAAATCAATTGTAGGCTATGTTGTAACACGCTTGTAATTCTAACAACTTTTAATTCATTGTATTAGCAGTTATAAACCATTAAGTTTATGATAATATTCCTTGTTCCCAATTTAAATTAAAATCTTCTTAAAATGTTACTTAAAAAAATTGCTAAAGGTGGGACCAGTAGATGGCTTAACAGGTACATTACTTGACTCCCTCATAGTCTACTGTAGTTCGAGTTCTGGAAGTCGTGTCTTAAAACTCACGCCTGGCACGTGTATGTGCATGCCCAAAATCCAGAGAGGAGAATGGAGAAGGGATTACAGCATGGCCATCCCCCCTGGGGGGTAATTTCTCGTTTTCTGTCTCCTTGGCAAGCGCATGAGGACTATTGCAAAAATTTCTCTTAAAAATATTGCGAAAGATACATTTAAAAAAAAAATTGCTATGGAGTATGCACGCTTGCTGGAGAAAGTGAGTCAGAGAGACACAGGGGGAGTGAGAAAGCACCTCTCCCCAGTGGGGATGGCTGCATTACAGTCCCTTTTCCTGCATTTTTCTCTTGGGATTTTGGTGTGCACATGCATCTGGCATGTTTTGTTTTTTTTTTGGGGAGAGGTTTTCGCCATAGGGCGCGTGCACTTGCCAGACAGAGAGAGACATAGAGACAAAAAGCGAGAAATCACCCCCAGGGGGGGATGGTCATGCCGCAATCCCTTCTTCTCCATTCTCCTCTTGGGATCTTGGGCACACACACACGCGCGCCCGGCGTGAGTTTTAAGCCACCGGGTCCGGGACGCGAACCGCGGTCGACTACATGGGAGTCCAGTGACATAGCCATTACACTAAATGCTGGTTCCCAAGACCTTATTTCTAAAATAATCCAATTAATTGGTTCATATTTACTGAACTTAAGTAATAAAACTGTCTTCTCAAAAAGATAATAACCAGAGGTACCAGAAATAGACAAACTATGAGGTTATTTCTGGTGTTCTGGCTGTTTTAGTGGACTTTCTTCATGAGGGAAGGATTTTTTTGAAGTAAGGATAATACTTGTGCCAGATGTGCAGTCAAAGGTTGTACTGAACAGATGGAAGCATTGGCTTCTCCATAGATATGGGACTATGGGAGCAGGAAAAGAGAATGAAGAAATTTATTTGGTATCATCAAAGAACTGAGTGGAGTGTTTACTTCTGATGGCAATAAGTAAATGGTTTTGGTTCAGATAAAATTTTTAGGTATTACAAATCTGAATATGGTGAGTGGAGTAAGTATTTAACACCATTATATACATATGCCAACATCAATGCTATCCAAAATTGAAATTGGAGGGAAATTGACAATTTCCCTGCAGGATAATATGATTGTTTTAACATTCCCACCAAAAGGGAGAGAGAAAAGTAGGAAAGAATGGAGATGACAATACTGTATCGGATAATAACCATATCTATTTAAGATAAAGTAGTTAGTATGAAAGCTGTAAGATAACTCAGCATGAAGTGGAAGAAGAGCTCAATAGGACAAATTGCATTGAATGTTATAAAATAATTGATCAAAAACATGAATGAAATGCTTCAGTAGCTTAAGTTTTAATGATGTCAGCACTTAATTTGAACTACAAAACAAGGCAATGTGAATCTGACACATGTTGACCTTTTTAAAAGTCAGTAAAATTTCCAAGCCCTTGCTTATCAACCCTTCTCCCTCTAAGTAAAGAGATTATACTCACTCAAACTCAACAGGACCTAGGATTGATTTTGTGTACTCAATTCAGTGGTTTGTGATGACATTTACTTAGAGTACTGTTCTCAGACTATACTGAGAAACAAAAAGGTGATCAGTTGCCAAACAACTTGCTTATAATTAATTAAGACTCTGGAATCCATAATAACTGGGAGATTATCTTAATTTTAGCCCCCTTTTGCTCTGCAAATGCAGTTTTTCAGAGTTGAAAGTAATTGTTTGAAAAGTGTTATGTCCACTGAAGTTCATATTGTGCAGATTGTATTTGTGATAGCTGAAACTAATTATAGCAAACAAGGCCTAAATTGCCAAAATATTAATTGTGAAATGCTAATATTAATTTACCATAGTATATAACTCAACATTCCCTCAGGACTCTAGTGGAATGAAATTATAAAATTAGTTAGGTTTTTCTAGAGATTTTATCTGAGTAGGGACTGAAGATTAACTTCTATTATTTGTAAATATTAACACAACTTTTCAAAATATTGATGACAGCATAAAAAGTATGAGGCATTAGAATTGCATTGAATTTTACTTAATTTAACTTAATGTGGATTTTTCGAGTAAAAAAACCGTATTGCGTGTGGCCAGTGTTAAATCTTTGTGATGTGAAGGTAGTGCCTGGGCCAAGTCCCCATTCCTGAGGTGGCCGAGCCCCTATTTTCAGGAATTATCTGCATTCATGGGTTATGTTCTCTAGGTCCACTTTTGACTGGTTCATTTTAACATGAGAAAACTTAGGGACAGCTCTTTGAATTATTTTTAATAAATATGAGTTTATTTAATTTACAATATTATTATGTACCCCCTGGATTATGTATTTCCTACTTGGTTCATTATGTATCCCTGGATTATGTATTTCCTACTTAGTTCATAGCTAAAACAGCCTTTAAAAAAAGATATAATAAATTAAAAAGTGTTCTTGACAAAATAAAATTCATTGACCCTGTTTTGAACATCTATTTTTTTTTTGGCAAATTTTACCAAACAATGAAATCTGAAAGTCTGGAAATCACGAGTAACATTGACATTAGATCAAATTTGAAGGCTTGATATGTTAACAGATTAATATATAATATCAACAAAGTTCTGTTCAGATCATTAATACTGAAGTCAAAAACTTTTTCTTCCAAACTGCTAAAGATTTTAAATATAAATGAGGAAAAATAGATATAAATAGAGGGGGTTTTTTTTTGGACACACTGTATTTTCTGTATCAGCGTAATCTCCAGCATCTTTTTTGAGAAATGATTGAGAGACAAGAGAAAATTAGATTCTAATTAATCTCCATGCAAAAATGTCTTTGGTCTTAGGATAACTAATATATGTCCATTCCCCATTTTTGTTTCTCAGTAATTTCTTTTTTTTTTTTCCTGGAGAGGTTTTTTTTGCTATAGGGCACATGCACTCGCTAGAAAGACAGAGATAGAGAGACAGAAAGCGAGAAATCATCCCCCCAGGGTGGGATGGCCACGCTGCAATTCCTTCTCCTCCATTCTCCTCTTGGGATCTTGGGCATGCACGCACACGTGCCCAGCATGAGTTTAAGCCATCAGGTCCGGGACTCGAACCACAGTCAACTACATGGGAGTCCAGTGACATAGCCATTACGCTAACTGCTGGTCCCTTTCTCAGTAATTTTTAAGTTAATTTTATTTATTAAGTGACTATAAAGGGATTTTTTTTTGGGGCGGGGAGGATTTTTTGCTATAGGGCACATGCGCTCGTCAGACAGATAGAGAGACAGAGAGACAGAAAGCGAGAAATCACTCCCTAGGGGGGATGGCCACGCCGCAATCCCTTCTCCTCTGTTCTCTTCTTGGGATCTTGGGCATGCACGCATCTGCGCCCAGCGTGAGTTTTAAGCCACTGGGTCCAGGACGTGAACCGCGGTCGACTACATGGGAGTCCAGCGACATAGCCATTATGCTAACTGCTGGTCAAGGGATATTCATGTGAAATTTTAAAATATTCTTATCATCTCCTACTGTGTTCATTAATGCTACTTCTGTGTTTAGATGTGTTAAAAACAACAGCAAAAAAAGCATGAGTGAAAAACCCAAAAGAAAAATATCCATAATCTAATCCCAAACTTTTAAAAGACCCTTTAAAACATGCATAGGGGCCCAGGTGCAGGTGCTGCTCCTTGGCAGGCTAAGACCACATGAGAGGCTCGGGTTTAGTTCTGGCCCACTCTAAAAGGCCAGATGTGCTGGTGCACACCTGTAGTCCCAGCTAGGGAGTCTGAGGCGGAAGCGAGGCTGAGCAAGACTCTGTCTTTAAAAAAATAATATTAAGCAAAATATGTGAATGGGGCAGTTATTATTGGATAATCTGAACCTCTCAGTTATTTTACTTTTTATTCTGTTTCTTCCCCAGTGAGAAAAAGAAAGAAAAGGAACGTGAAGAATTGTGGAAAAAATTGGAGGATCTGGAGTTAAAGAGAGGTCTTAGACGTGATGGGATAATTCCAACTTAACAAAAATATTGATGACAACATTACTAACCTGTGGAGTCACACATTTATGTAGTAGAAGATGGAGCAACAGTTTTCTGTATTGTGCAACTTTACAGTAGATTTCACATTTGTTTCATTATTACAACAGCACTGTATATACCTGTCTCTAAGTAAAGGAAAAAAAAATAAGGACTTCAATCCAAAGTTTGGACAGTAGATGGACTTCTCAGAACTTTGCAAACATAATCATTGTTCTAACCCTCTTAAAAAAAAGAAAAGCAGTCTTCAAAGATTTGTTGATGAAATTGCTATGTTAAAATTCCATTATCGGGAGTTCCTTATTTATCACTAGCAGAGAGTATGATACAATTTTCAAATGTGAACAATCTTAAATTTAGCTTGTCTTTCTGCTAAGCTGTTAAATGTATTTATAGTAAAGGAAGAAACAAACAAACAAAAAAAGACTGTCATTTCCTTATAAGTTTGTATCACATCCTCCTCTGGATAACTTGACTGTAATTTGACATCTTTTCCTTTTGCACATCTTCATGAGTTGAATGTCCACGTGGAATGGGGCCATGAATTGTGGAGGTTCCTGATAAAAGTTTTGTTTACTGGAGTGAACATCTTTCCAGTAACCAGGTAGTCCTGGGACTCCTTTGGTTTTAAAATTAGGAGTAAAAAGAGAAGAGGTGATAAACATAGTAGGGAAGGGAATTTTGGATTCACGCATCAGCTTACGGTGAATCCAGATCACTGTCTTGAATCCTTTGAAAACAGGCACTGGGACATCACAGGCTTCAGTGCTTGACCAGTATTAGTTGCATACATCATTGAACACACATACCAGAGATATTTTAGAAATGTCAGTAAAACATCCTTTTGGACCATTTAAAATAAGAAAGACAAATACTAAACAATACAACCATGAAATTGATTGCCAAGATTGTGAATCTAATTGGAAAAAGAGTTGAGCAAACAGCTTGGACTGTTTGGAGTTGTTGCCTTACTTTTTAATATGTATTTATAAAGTATTCCAGCAAAAGAGGATGTAGCCTCTGGGGAAAAAACAAACATGTTACAGTGTTTTTTGTAGATTCTCGTTCTATATCTCATCACAGCGCCAGCCCTGTTTTTAGCCAGAAAGGATTCAGGATAAACATTATTATGCATTCTGAATTGGATGCGTATTCCTAACTACTGTATTTGTTACCAAAAGTGGTTCTACAAATGCTACTGAAAAAAAATCTGGAAATTCCTAATGTCCTGAGTATTAATAATAAAGTTTAAAAATGCTTTTATATCAAAGGTGCATCGTGACCAAATTGTTTAAGAAAAAAAAAAACAAACAAAAAACAAAATCTAGGGCTGTATTATAGATGTATCTTATTGGCTTTTTGTTTTGTATTTAAAAGAGGCATCTTATATTTTGGCAGGCAAACTGCTGATAAAACTTGTATACAGTACATACTTACCTGATGCGGTTGCATATTATGTACTGAAAGATATGTGTTTTGGGATTTATTTGCAGGATGCTTTTGCTTATTACAGACATGGCAGCAATGAGTGGGTAATGCTGACCCTGACCCATCATCTCCAGCAGTATTCACGGTATAGAGCTGAGTCTGTGTTCATGTGTTGAATTGTGATAGCAGCAAACATGAACATAGGAACTGTTGTTGCTCTTAGTAGAAATATAATATAAATATGGGCTTGTATATTTTCTTCCTTTCATTTAAATATAAGGTAGAATACACAGTTTTATTATTTCCAAGAAAAAGAAAAAGAAAAAAAAAGGCACTGACTTTTGTCCCCAGTGAAATGTTTCAGGATTATCAGGTTCAGAGGGTGTACCAACAGTCAGCCAATTATGGATATTGCTGTCTTGGTAACTTTGTAAAAATACAAACCAATATTTGGCATCGTCCATCCCTAAAAAGGAACAGCAGTAAAAGAACAAGAAAAGTCATATGCAGTACCAAACACAACATGGTTCATTGGGATTAATAGATTTTTTTTTTTTCCAAAAAGGACATAATGAGAATTTAATGTATTGTTGGCAGAGGCTGCCAGAAATGAAACAACTTCCTTTAAAAGTGCTGGAGCAAAGGTGCAGGTTCAAATATTAATGATACAAAATAAATTTGTAACAAATCTCCTTTAGCCCTTTTGATTTTAGCTCTTTAGTTTCGACTCTGCATTACACTTATTTTTAGTAGTATAAACTTTTGCTTGCCATTAAGTCATCTTTTGTGATAGAAGACATTAAAATCACAGGTTTATGAAGAATCTCTGCCCATTGGAACGAAATGCAGTCATGTGAAATAAGAAAGGCCAGGATCCTCTTTTGCACTTGACGCTGTCCTCAGAGTTAAGGTGAAAACTACTCAGATATCCTTGATGCCGATTTTATATGTTGATCATTCCAAACTGAGAAGAATAAAAGCCACATTTTAGACATACTTAAGTACTATGTCTAAAATTCATAGGGCAACTTTTGAGAAGAAACACTGTCTTTTTGTTTTTTAACTGAAAGTGACAATGTGACATTTGTCATGTTGTGTGCGGTGATGCAGAGTAACTGAGGTAATCTGACTGTTGCACTATGTGACATATTTAAGGACATACTTGCTGCATTTGCAGCAGCCCTCTCTGTCCCTTCCCACAGTTCTGCTGTTGCTGCAACTTGAGTTAATTGTGACAAAATGCATCTTTGTGTTATATTTTATTTGTTTCCTGATTTCCAGAACTATATATAAATATATTTTTAAAATAGCAAATATTGTAGTTAGTGAGTGATGATCACTCCAAACTTAGCCCTACCATATTGGTTTTAGGGATAAGGATTAAGAGTGTCTTTGGAAGAAAAAAATACACACAACCCTGTGGTTTGAAACGAGGCTGAGGCCTTAGGCTGTGGGCCTAGAACAACTATGTGAGTGAAATGACCCATCTCATACTTTGAATCAAGCATGCATTCCTTCTTCTCATTGTGCAAGTGTCCCTAGTTGTTTTCCTTTAGTGTTTAGTTTTGTCTTTTAAAATTTTATTATGTTTTGCTCTCCCTGACATCTGACTGTTTTTTTATAAAAGAAAAGAAAAGAAAAAAAAATTTTAAAGTGAGAAATAAATAATACCCTCGATGCCGCTGGATACTCACAAGCAGGGTTTGCTCCTTCATCTTGGGCTGGTTGCCTAAATGGAAGGGTTTAATTTATTTTGTACCTCCTTCTATGCGTGGGACAGTCCAGGGTGCAGGGCCAGGAATTGCTTGTAATTGCACCTGCTATACTTAAATGTATAGCCCTAGGCTCAATCACACTATGGAAAGAAAAAAAAAAAAGTATATTTAGAGCTTTAAAAGCTTTTTTATTTTTTTGTGGGGATGTGGGTGGGTGGGAAAGGGGATGTGTGGATGTTATTGGCATTTTTAAGTCTTCAGAGGTTTCGCTGTTTTTTTTTTTTTCCTTGTTTTGTTTTTAATTAGATGCACTGACCTGGCCCAGGAAATGAAGAGATGCTCTCTTTGATGCTATTACCAATATTATCACAGAAAACAGTCACCTGTAGTAAAAAGGTGGCACCACATACGATCAGTGATGTTTTATTTGCACATCAGTATTTTTATTTTTGTATTCTGGCTCAGCTGCTTCTCTGAGTGGAGTTGAGGAATGAGCCACAGAGGATTTTTGTAGTAGGTATATTGACAATGCATTTTATATTCCTGTTTAGTTTTTAAAAGTCTAAAAGAAGGATTGTGCATCTTGAGAGAAAGTTGAGCAAATTTGGATGTAGCGGAATGTTAATTTGTGCTGCTTCTTATGCACGAAGGCAGCAGTAGTAGCTCTCTTGGAAATAAACATCCCATCTTACGTCTATAAATATAGCTTTCCTTTTCTTCTCCCCTCCCTCCCTCTTCTCTCTTTCCTCCCCCTCTATTCTTTTTTTCCCTTCTCCTTCCTCTCTTCCCCTTCTCTCATTTCATTTTCTTTTATCTCATTCAGCCTTTCTCCCTCTCTCCCTTCCTCTTTACTTTTTTCAAAATCACTTACTGTAAATAAGTTGTAATCCAAACCTCATGTATCAGTGGGGCACTCAAATATAAATATTACCAATACATTTTCCGGTTGTTGTCTGAGTTTTGATTGAAGTATGAGAATGACATGTCTATTGCTTTCGGTTTGAGGATTTCACTTTTAGCTTCATAAATCTTTCAGAATTTGAGTATTTCATTGTTTTAGCAGGAGAGGGCAGCAAAAGTTCATTTTCCCTGTTAGTTATGCTGTGGTTCCTGATTGGTTTTCAATTTAGCTGTGTGTATGTGTTTTTTTAAACAGCATCTGTTTGTGGGTAGAGGTAAAAATGAAACATTTTTGATATGAAAAGTTGCATATGAAAATTATAGACTGGTTCAACCAGACAGTGAAGACTTCTGATCCACATCAAAGTTAAAATGCCACAAAACAACCTTTCAGCTCGGGCTAAGACATGCTACTTCTTTTTCAAACACCACGAAATGCAAGCTGAGTCTTAAACACTTGGAATTTAAAATGTTTTTCTTTGAAAATGATTTACTTTTTTCAAAGTGGTAACAGAAACAAAAATGAAGGTGCTCCCAAAAAGAAATGTAACCTTCCCCTCTCACAGCTGTGTGAGAGGTTCTGTACTGTGGGTGCATCATAATAAAGAAGCAGTGAAGAGTTCTCAGGCGCCTGACTGTTTTTGTTTGTTTGTTTCTGACTTCTGCGGCCTTGAACCATGCAGGTAACAGATTTGGTTAACTTTGAGGTACTGGGCTTGGTGGGAGTATTTAATGTTAGGGACTGGCTCAGTGTCTGTGGCTATGTAACAAACTACTTCAGAAGTTAGTGGCTTAAGGGAACCAGCAGTTAGCGTAATGGCTATGTCGCTGGACTCCCACGTAGTCGACCGCGGTTTGCGTCTCGGACCCGGTGACTTAAATCTCACGCCGGGCGCGTGTGCGTGCGTGCCCAAGATCCCGAGAGGAGAATGGAGGAGAAGGGATTGCGGCGTGACCATCCCCCCTGGGGGGTGATTTCTCGCTTTCTGTCTCTATGTCTCTGTCTGTCTGGCGAGCGCACACACCCTATAGCAAAAACCTCTCCAAAAAAAAAGTTAGTGGCTTAAAACAACCATTCCTGTGTTCACAAATCCATAGTTTGGAAAGGACTTGGCAAAACCATCTCATCTCTGATTCTTAAGTGTCAGCTGTGTCTCAAGTGGGGCAGAATTCACTTCCAACATGGTTGACTCACACAGCTGGTAACTTAGTGCTGGCTGTTAGCTTGGAGTTCAGCTAGGGGTCTCAATTCTTCCTACGCTTCCTCCTTGGGCTCCCTCACAGTGTGGCAGCTGGGTTCCAACAGACAGGATGTAGTAACTGCCAGTTCTTTGAGGCCTAGGCCAACAAGCTCACAACATCACTTTCATCATATTCTATTGGTCAAACAGTCACAAAACCTACTTGAATTCAAGTGGAGGGGACATCCACCTCACTGTGGATTGAGAGGAATATCATAAAATTTGCAGCCATCTGTATGTTACCACGGGGGATAGTTTCTTTGTAAAGCATTTGATTTAGATGTCATCTCTCTTAGCCAATTAAATCATACCACATTTGTAAACACATTTGTAAACCTGGTGTTTCATTTCAGTTATGTCTGGGTTGAGAAGGGAAACATTTTTGTAAATTCAGCAATTTTATATTTCAAAGTATAACCATTTGTAGCATCTGAAGATTAACCTCTTGGCAAGTCACAGGAAAAAGAAACCTGAAAATTGTTTTTAGAGTTCAAAGAAATTTTATAGATGACTTCAGAATATCTAATCCTTTCTATAGCATTGCTTCCTACTTGTAAATAAATGTGCACAAAAATGGAGGCAAAATAAATATACACTTCAATTCTTGTTTGCCAGATTTTTATATAAGTAGCATGTTCTGAAGGATTCTATTAGATTAGGTTCATATTAGATGTTTTTTAAGAGAATTATTTATTTAATTCATTAATTCATTTATTTATTTTAATTTGACCAGAAAGAGAGAGAGGGAAAGTGAGAAAGCAAGCCACCAGGTCCAGAATTTGAACCATGGTCTGTCATGTGGGAGTGTCCAGTGCCTTAACCACCAAGCCACCTGCTGGTCCCACATATTAGATCATTTTTAAAAAGGAGATTAATGTAGGATAGTTAATGCTAATTAAAATTTGCTTTTATTATGATAACATGTTCATTATATAATACACATTTTTCAAAAGGTGGAATTTTTCTTTTGTGTTTATTGTACTTGGTTGTCTAAGAAACCTTTCCTCTTTCCCCACCTCCTCCCCATCCCAGGCCAAAAAATATTCTTGTAGTTTTTCTCTAAGAGCTTTACTATTTTAACTTTTATATTTAGATCCATGATTTACCTACTTCATCTTTTTGTTAACCTTTGGTATAGAGTGCATGCTCTTGCCAAAGACAGACAGAGTAGGGCTTAGTGGGAGGGAGTGAGAAATCATGCCCCTTGTGGGGTGGGGGGGGGGAACTATGCCTCAATTCCTTCTCCCTTTGTGATTTTGGGTTCACATGCATGTCCCTCTGAGATGTTTTTCCTTTTTTTTTTTCTGAGAGACTTTTTCTAAAGGGCATGTGTGTTTGCCATAGAGAGAGAGAGGCAGGGAGAAATCATCCTCTGGGGGAATGGCCATACTGTAATCCCTTCTCCAATTTTCCACTTGGGATTTTGGGCATCTACAGACACACACCTGGCCTGAGATTCAAGCTGTCAGGTCCAGGACTTGAACTGCTGTTGACCATGTGGGAGTCTAGCACCTTAACTAATATGCCACCTGCTGCCCCTGCCTACTATGTTTTTCAGGCAATCATCTCTAGGACTCGAACTGCGAAGTCGTCTATGTGAGATCTAGCAGCCTTAACCATGATGCCATCAGCCAGCCCCGCCTGTATTACTTTCTTGCAAATTGGTTGTGAAACAGAAATCTAGATCAATTTTTCTCCATATGAATATCCAGTTATTGTTACACAAATTGTTGAGATATTTCCCATAAGAATTGCTTTGGTCCCTTTGTCAAAAAGCTTCTATATAATTGCAGATATAAATCTGGGTTTGTTCTTTTGTTCTTGTGGTTGATTTACTGATCCTTGGACCAGAATCACAGTGTCATGATTACTATAGCTTTTTAACAACCTTAGATCAAGTTGTCTGTGTCCTTAAATTTTGTATTTCTTTTTCAAGATTGCTCTCAGTATTCTAGGTTCTTTGCATGTCTACATAAAAATTTAGAAGTAGCATGTCAATTTTTACAAAAAGGAAGGAAAAAACAATATGATTGGGGTTATACTGAATCTATAATTTTGGGAACAATTAATGTTTAGTAATATTGAGTCTTATAATTTGCTATAGTTTGAATGTGTTTTCCAAAAAGCATGTGTTGAAAATTTAACCCCCAATGCAACAGTATTGGGAGGTGGGGCCTGTAGTACAGGCCATTATGACTCCAACCTCATGAATGGATTAATGTTATCAATGGGAGTGAGCTCAGGGCAAGTTTGGTCCCCTTACATCCCTCCTCCTTTTCCGACACACCCACTTTGTTCTGTAATGGAATGACGCTGCAAGATAGCTCTTTCCAAATGTGGACATTGATAATGGACTTCCCATCCTCCAGAACTGTGAGAATATCTTTTCTTTGTAAGTTACCAGTCTCTGGTATTCTGTTATAGTAGCACAAAATGGACTAAGACATAACCCATGAATACCATACAGTGTTTGATTTATTTAGTCTTTAATCTCTTGCAGCCACATTTTGTAGTTTGAAGTGTAGATATCTTGCATGTTTTGTTAAATGTGTACTAAATATTTTATGTTTTTTAGAAGGTATTATAAATGAAATGTTTTACGTCTTTTTCCAATCGTTTGCTGTTAGTATATAAATACGGTTGGTGTTTGCATAGTAACTGGCATCCTTAAACCTTGCTGAATTCACTTCTTAGTTCAAGTAATTGTTTTATAGAGTCCTTCAAATTTTCCATGTGAGCGATCATGCTATCTGCAAATAGAAACAATTTTACTTCTTTAATTTTGATCTCTAAGGTTCTATTACTTAAAATTATTATAGGGTGCATGTGCTTGCTGGAGACAGAAAAAGAGAAAGAAAGCACACACATACCTCCCAGGGGGTGTAACCATCACAGTCCTCCACTCTTCTCTCAGGATTTTAGGCACACAGGCACATGCCCCCAATATATTTTTCAAGCTATGAGGTCTGGGACTTGAACTACACAGTCAGCCCTGTAGGAGTCAGCTGCCTTAACCACCCTGTCACTTGGCTGACCCTTCTATTACTTTTTATTTCTTTTTTCCCCCTTGTTATGGTTAAGACTTCCAGTATATATTAAATAGAAGTGGTGGAAGTGGGCATCCTTTATACTTAATCTTAGGGGGAAAGTGTTTAATATTTATTCATCAAATGCAATGTTAACTATAGTTTTTTTGTTTGTTTGTTTTTGTTTTGTAGATGTCCTTGATCAACTTGAGGGAATTCCCTTCTATTTATAGTTTGCTGAGATTTATTTATTTATTTATATCATGAGTAGTATTTGCTACTGTATTTTTTCCCTGCATATATTAAAGTTATTTGATTTTTCTTCTTTAGTCTACTAATATGGTAATTGTATTGAATTTCTGGGAAAAACTGTATATAGATTATAAGATAGACATCAAGGTGCATATGTGTATATAATGTGTGTGTGTGTGTATGTATAATGTGTGTGTCTATAATGTGTGTGTATACAGATAGCAGATATCACTGAGCTTCTTACATCCCTAAACCTCTTAATTTATGTTTTTCACAACATTTGGTAAGTTCCTACTCATTTTTTTCAAGGTGTTTTTGTCTGAATCTGTTTTCTTCTATGACACTAATTACATGTTTTAAACATGTTGATATTGTTCCATAGTTCACAGAGGTACTATTTAAGAAAAACTTTTTAATTGAGATGAAATTCATATAACAAAAGCAACCACTTTAAAGTGTACAGTTCGGTGGCATTCAGTACTCATGGCATTGTGTGCCCATTATTTCTGCCTCATTCCAACACACTTTCATCTGTCCAGAAGAATGCCCAGTACCCATTAAATAGTCCCTATTCTTCCCTCAGCTTCTGGCCACTATTAATCTACTTTCTGTCTTTACGGATTTACTTATTCTGA